CGAGTTAACTTCCTCACTCTATTTATTTCGCGTTTTCGATATTCCTCGTTGAATTCCGTTTCCATCAACTTTAAAACGCTTTTTCTCATAATGATTTCTACGTGTGTTTGGAAATAGTGTTTTTTCTCTTTATTAAACATAAACCTCCGATTAATGAATGTGTTTGTGTTGAATGTAGCATTATCCCATATTCTCGTTTTCGCTAATTGAGCATTTCCAGTGTTACCAGTAATATAAATATTAACTTTTTTATTATGATATAAGTAATTTAAAGGAATTGGTCTGGTCAATAAAACATCGTCATTAAAATACACAAAACACTCGCCAAGGTTCTTCACGTTGTGCAAATGCAATTCCAAGTTATCACTACTAAACACAGGCAAAAATTCCTTATTAATTATTTCTCGGTGAGAAACGACTTCCAAAGTATATTCTCCGTCTTTGAGTATGTAAACAGTTTCATTCAATGGACGCTTGAGAAAATTTGGTACTTGGTCGTCCGTGACGAGAAAATAATTTTTTATATAAGGCGCAAACTTTCTGACACTTCTAAAAGAGTACAACAAAGTGTTGTAGTCTCTAAACTTGTTTGGGTCGTATGTGGAATTGGTGAATTTTTTTAATTTGGTGATCCACGTCGGGTCTGTCCCGTTCACCCACAACCACAAAGCATCTATTTTACCATTACATTCTGTCGGTAAGTTCTCCAAATCTTTACTGTTAAATGGAGTATACCGTTTCGTTGACTTCTTGTGTTTTCTAAAATACCAACTGAGCTCTTGATTTGCAAAATTCTCTTGTTCGATTGTAGTCATTTTATTAAATTTTTCTTCTTCATAATTTTTTGTTGCTGTTTCACCGTTTTCTTCTTTTTTAAGTTTTGTATTATTAAAATTAAGGAGTTTCAACAGTTCTTCTTCTTCTTTCTTGGCTTTGATAAAATAGTCCGGATTTGCGTTTAAAAAAACAGTATTGAATGTTTTGAGTGAAGAGGGTGTAAAGATCGGTTTCTGGACAGCCATTAATTCGGGAACGTCAACATGGACTATCCCAAATACGTTGTAATGAATTGTAAACCGGTCGATTCGTTGAGGAACAAATATAGTTGTTGTCAAAAAGAACAGAAAAAATGAAAGAGAGAATAAGAATATTGTATTAATTAAATACATAACAACCAATTGGCTTTTGAGTTGTCAAATAGGTTTTATTTGATTTGTTTTTACTTATTTCATTACTATTGTTTTCCTACAGACAAATTTATTTGGTGTTTAAATTTTTGTCTCAAAAAACCAATTTTTATAAATTCATTCACAACAAGAAACAATCGAAAAAGTGAGTGTTGTTTTTTTATTATAAATTCCCGAAATATAAGATTTTTTTATGTAAAAATTAGATTTTTTAAAAATTAATTCAAAATTCGAATAAAACTACACTCATTTCTTTGTTTTTATTTTATTAACTATTTAAGTATAATTTGTTTACTATTCAACGAATTCTAAAAATATTACATTTAAAATAATATTATTGTAAACATCTAAAAAAACAATTTTTTTTTGTTTTTTTTGTCTTTTTTTTCCATTTTTTTTTATTAAAAAACCCATAAAATAGTTTTTAGAAACCATATTTATAGTTTGCTGGTCGTTTTTTCCAAAGTTTGTATGTGTTGAAAAATAATCCCAGTTTAGTGTTAAATTATTGCATGGTTAAATAAAAGTTGTAGAAAAATTATTATCTTTAGTAAAGACTATTATGAAAAATTAATTAAAAGTGCTTTTGTCAAACCATAATTATTGAGCTAAATATTAAGTTAATATCCATGAAAAAGCACATAAAAACAGTTATAACAAACAAAAAATTTATAATAAATATAAAAACAATTTATTAAAAAATTTTTACTAAAAAATAAGTTTTGTATTTTTTAACTTTTTTAATTTATTTATAGTCAGTCTGAAAACGTTGTCCACTCTCCAACGTTGTCCAGGCATTTTTGGACCATCAAAACTGGAATATTTCGGGAAACGATTCGAAACAATCCCAAAACATCGTTTCATAATTTTTACCGGGATTTGATCGTTTTACCCAATTCCTAAATTTTTCAACATATTTTGTGTAAAATTTTGTCAAATGGACAACGTTTTACAAGCAAAAACATTTTTAGATAGACTTTAGTATTAAAAAATTTAAAACATTGTATTTTAAACAATCAAAACAAATTTCAAAAACAGTGAATTAATTGTTTTCGTCTTTCACAAACATTTTTATTGAATTTTAGAGAAAATGGTTTCGAGTCTTTTCACAATTTCATCGCATAAAATACGCTTTTGAGGTTCGATATCCCACATATTATTAATCATTTCTTGTGTTTCAATGCTAAAATTTTCATTGTAAGTGAGGTGATTTCCTTTCCCAACAAAGTCTGCTATTTCCCATGGATATTTGAATGTACTTTTAGCAAATGGTTCTGCCCATCCAATGATTTCAAAGAATGAAATTGCAAGAGAATAAATATCTGACGGCGTTTTGTATTTTTGTCCATTAAGCAATTCAGGTGCCATGTATTTTGGTGTTCCGATACCCCTTGTGAATGTCATATTAGTCATCATCATATTAATATTTCTGCTCGACCCAAAATCAGTCAATTTGCCGTTCACAACATCATTTGGGTTCAATGAGAATATCAACACGTTGTCTGGCTTGATGTCTCTGTGGAGGATCCCGTTTTTGTGTAAATAGGACATCCCCTTTGTTGCGTCTAAACACAATTTGATACGCAGTTTCATATCGACGTCTTTTGCTTCTTTGTTTTTCAGCATATCCAACACAGACCCAAACTCAGCAAATTCAGTGACCATACATATCTTTTTAGGAATGAATACAGCGCCATAGAAGTGGACGATATAATCGTCGTGGAATTTTGACAGCATTGACACTTCCTTCTCAAATTCAGCCATTTGGTCTTTTGCGTCGGTGGCGTTTTTCATCTTCTTAATTGCAACTGTATTCCCTCCAAATTTACCTTTGAAGACAACACCAAACGATCCTTCGCCGAGTTTCTTCTCCTCAATTAAACTTTCTGGATCAAGTCGTGTTGATATTTTAGTGATGTACTTGAAGTCCGTCTGATGTGTACATGTTTTGGCGTCACTTGAGAAGATGACGTAATTGATCACAAAACTACTTTCCATATTCGAGTTGCACAGTGGCGTCAAAAAGAGACTGAACTCGCACCCGTAATTTGGAGGAATTGTTATTATCTGTGGCTCAATACTAATATTGTACTTCTCAATGTTTTTTGTGGTGAATTGAATCTTCACGTGGTGGGGTGTTGTGTTGCCAATAGAAAACAGATTTTTAATTTCTTTGTTGACATCAATTTCGTCTTCGTCCAAGTCATCATCTGTGATCAAAAATCCTTCGTTTTTGGTGTGAATTGTCAGACCATCTGCCATTTCAACAAAAGTCATATTTGTGTATTTCAATTTGAAGAGTGTGAGTTCATTTGAATCTTTTCTGTATTTACTGAATTTGGTCATAACAAAGAAGACCAACACTATGACCAACACGAGAATTGAAATGACAATGACAACTATAAGAAGTATCAGCCACCACACGGCCGTCTTCGAACAATACGTGCCATCGTCACTCGGTGAATACCAAAATGTACACAACGAACATTTTGAGTCTTTTGTTTTTGTGCACTTTGTGATGTTATAATAACTTACACACATGGTGCTTTTGAGTACAAACGTGTCATCACACGATGTGCACCGAGTCGGTTCTGAACACTTTGCACACCCTTCAACACACTTCTGACACTCATTTCCATTGACTGTGTAATACCCGTCTTTACACAATGAACAACCACTTTCAGTCACTTCAACGGCACACGTCGTTATCGAAGAGCGCGGAAGACAATCACCATTACTCGTTTTGTAGTTTGTTACATTGCATTTAATACATGAGTTCTCTGTCAGACACTCGCCACATTTTACATCACAATGTGCACAATCAGCTCCCTTCTTGTAATACCCAACTTTGCACTCCAAACAGCCATTCCCATTTGGCACCTTTCGTGCACAAGTGTCATTCAACGCGTCATTCGATTTGCAGATGTGGTCACTCAAAAAGAAACCATCTACACACGACAGGCACATCGTCGAATTCAAACAACTTTCACAATTTGAGTTGCACGTGTCACATTTGTGTGTCAATACATTCAGGAAGGTATTTCCATCACACCTGATACACCCAACCGGAGTTGCTGTTCCACAGTTCACATCAACTTTTGATGGGTCAACACAACTCGCATCGCCATCATATGAGTACTTTGAAGAACATTCGACACATATACCATTCACATACTTCACGCAGTTGTCTATTTGTGGTGCACACTTCCCATTCTCTTCGTTGTTTATTCCACTTGAGCACTCGTTTTTGACACAAACACTACCATCTTCTTTCACATAATACGTCGCATCACACTTCTCCGTGGTTTTGAATGAACACAACAAACTTCCTTCGTTGTCGGTTGTGCAGTCGTTACAAGTGTTGTTTTGTACATAAAACCCATTTTTGCATTCAACCACATTAGAAAGACTGTGAACAGCAACATTGCTGTTGACAACACTGCAAACGCTATTGGTATTGATCAGTGTCGTGTTTGTTATATCACACATTCTGCACTCTGACGGAACGCCGACTTTTATCTGGCAATTTCCGTTGTCTTCGGTGATGGCAACACAATTGTTACCTTCAAACACAAAACCATCTTTACATCGAAGACATTTATCTTTTGTGAATGAAAGACAGTTTGTGTATTCTTCACATGTGTTTGATTTGGTATTGTATGTCAAATTCTCTTTGCATTTTATACAATTACCTTTGTCACCATCACACATCACACAATTCACAACTTGACATGCTGCACATCTCCAATCGGTGGTTTTACCACCATCAATACATGGTATATGATTTTGACAGATGAATATCCCGTTTTGGAAGTACCCCGACTTGCACGACGTGTTATTGTATTCAAACCCTTTTTCTGCAACAAGAAATATGTTTTTTGTGATTGTAGAATTATCTAAAACTATTAGTTTGTCAGATTCCATCTCAATCTCAATAAAATCAGTGAGTGACAAATCGTATTTTTGGTTTCCAATTACAATCACATTTTCTTCGTTTTCTGCGCTTTTAACAATTGAATTCTGTTTTGGCGTATCTACTTTGACTTTCATTTGATAAAAAGTGTCAATGGGTGTGATGTATGCATCAGTGAGTGGGCAATAACTTTCGATGTAATATGGCACTTGTGTGTCTTCAGTGTGGTTTACATGACAATATATCTTATTTGAAGCACCATACCGTAATAGGTGACCTTCTAAAAGTACTTTGAATGGGGTTGTGTACAATGTCGTGTCAAGTGTGTTGTTTGTGTATAAAAAGTCGAAATCGCCTTCGTGTTGAAAAGCAGCAAACCCAGTTATTGTAACTGTGTTCAATACAAAAAAGAGTGGAAGATCTTTGATTGTTCTCTCTGTGGAGACTTTAAATGTGTCTATCAAAGTTAAAATGAGATTCTCGGTTTGAATTGTACTTCGATTATCAGCATTAAATTCTCTTGTTAATTCAAACGATTTTGATACAAAATTAATACGTTGTGTTGAACTTGATATTTTGAAAATATCTTTAGTTAATTTAAAAATAAAAGCACCAAGCAACTCAACGTGTGAATTTTCATTGATGGTAATTTGACTACCAACTTTATTTGAAAACATGTTTAAACAAGAAAGTCTTGATTTTCCTGAAAGTGTAGTTGGGGATGCACCACCACTTAAAGTTATATTACCTTTCACCAAAATTCTCGAATTGTCAGAAAAATACAAAATGGAAGAACTTATTTCCAATTGATTAGTATTTACAATAGAGTCACCAGTTGCATTACATGTACTTTCATACTCCAATTTAAACAATTCAGAAACATTTAAAATGCAATTTGTTTCGAGTGTGATTTGTCCTCCTGAAAGTTCTAAATTTTTTTCTGTTTTCAAAATCGAGCCAGTCGTCATTTGTAAGTTAATGGATGAAATTGTTACCGACTCGGCATATTCACACGCATCATTCTCAACCAAGACAATGTCTATTTTAGTTTCTTCCGTTATACTTTCTGGACATGTCGATAACGTTAATACAATAAACACAAATATAAAAAACAATCTTGTCATATATATTTGTATTTTTTAGATACTCTCAAACTATTCAATGTAAAGAGTTTGATGCTTTAATTATCTTTTGAGACTTTTTTACAATTATTATTTCTATTAAATAATACACACAACCATAATTCATCATATTAAAAACCATATTTTATTTATTAATTTATTATAAATTATAATTAATAAACCATTTATTTAACAATATTTTATAACTCATTATGATAGAACTATTTAATATTAACAACAAACGTTATTGTATTTTTATATATATATATAACAAAGAATTTATATTTATTAAACACCCAAATTGTTACAGAATTTTTGTTTTACATGAAAATTCAACTCAAGATGTTGGTTTCATCATTAATTTTGTTTTTCATAAAAAAAATTAGATATGGTTAGTATTGAATTTAACTTAAAATTAATTAATTTAATAGTTAAATTTTAGGTTGCTTAACACAACAAAAGTGCACTAAAGTGGTGTAAAAATATAATTGTACAACAAAACTGTTATTTATTTGAATAATTTCCTGTTTGTTTACTTTATAATCAACCAATATTTTTTTTGTTGTATAATTCCTTATTGATAAATTTCGATGAAATACAAATTATTAGTTTATAAATAACCACATTTTTGAGTTAATCATTTAACACAAACATAATATTAAGACATGGTTTAAAAATATACAACCAAAATTACTGAAAAGAATAATTAGATAAAAATAGACCATTAAAACGACAAAAACTACTTTTGTGTTACTTATTAATTTTTTAGTATATTTACTATTCTAACAAACAAGTAAGTAAAACTAATCTAACAAACTAAAAAAATAAAAAATGTAAAAAACATTTTATTTACAGTTTTGTTTTTTTGTTGTTTAATTTTAATTATTTTAAAAATTATTTTGAAAATGTTATGATTTTTAAGGTTGACGGAAAAAAAAGTAAAATTTATTTTACCTGTTCCAGTATAAAGTATAAAATTTATAGTTTTATACCAAAATAAATAAAAACATTTTTTAAATAATTTTTTAAAAAATTTTAACACGTTCAAAACAGAAACGTAATAATAATAAGTTTTTATTTTTTTCTGTTACCTAAACCCTTTTTTTGCCTTTATACACAAAACAAATTTTTGTTATTTTTTATTTATTTTTTTATCAACTCAAATTTGAATTGTATATTTTATAGTCACACAAATAAACATGAATGAGTTTGTTTGTGCAAAACAAGAGCAAAGCATTAGAAAGAAAAATGGGGTCTAATGATGGTTTAATATATTTGGTTGTTTTTTATAATAAAAAAGTATATTGTCATTTGATTATAAAGATATTGGTGTTTATATTGTCGTTATATTTGTTAATGTGACTATTTGACATTGTTTGTCATAAAGTGGATTGACGATGTAGCGTTTTTATATTAAATGTTGAAACACAATAAAGCGATATGAAATTTTATCCAAAAAGATTATTTTTGATCAATCTTAATAAATTGAGTTCTCATTTGTTAGTTATTTTAAGTAAAATAAAACTGACTATTGGCCGGTTTGGGTTAGAAAGGGGTTTTGAAATAAAAATAATAAAAAAATGATTTAGACAATTTCTTTTTTACTTATTTTTCTTCTTATAAAAAAGTTTTGGGTTGTGAAAGTGTTAATGATTTTGTTAACTTTTATGAAAATATAAAATAATATATATAAATATTTATTTACAAATATTTATATAACAATATAAATACATTTTAAACAATTACATAACACAGTCATTAATATAACGAAATGTCAAAAAACACAACTAATAGATTTATGACTGTGTCAAAATAAATGTTATTATAAATGTCAAATATTATTAAATTTTGATTGTGTTATATACCAATTTTTGATTAAAAAATTTTAACACTGTCAAATAAAAATTAACAAAAAAAAACAACCAAACGTGAAAAAAATATATATTTCAATTCACAAAAATTTATTTTCAGGTCACATTTTAAATACAGATATTGTCATATAAATTCTTCTATACAACACTTACAGTTTATAAATCATAAATGTTGACTGTTACACGTTTCATAATTTATTTATAAAAACTGGTAGATATATACAATAGTTCATACAAATCTTGTTTTTACATTGGTTATTGCATTAATAACACTTCTTCTTTTTGCTACATTGATTTTGGTAAGATATAATTATACATTTTATGATTACTACAACACTACTACACCACACATTTAACACCCTCTTTGCACATGTAATTGAAATTACTATACTTACAACAAATTTGACATATTAAATTTAAAAAGACCACATTATAAACGACTCGAATAAACAAAAACAAGAATATATGAAACACTCAAAAATATATCCATGAATAACTTTAAAAATCCCATATATTGTCAAACACGATTTTTACAATGTGTATTTAAAAATTACAATATCAACATATCAACGCAGAACAATGTTAGTTGGAAATTAAACAGCCAAAAATGTCGCTGTAATAATCATAGTAATTACAATAACAAAAAAAGAAATTATTCACCGACAATTTTTGACGTCACACCACAAACATAAAATGGTTACACCATCACTACATTTAACTTGAATTTATTTTTATTGAATGTTTTGCACAAAACTAGCATAAATTATTCAAAAAACAATATTGTTGTTTTTTGTATTATCACAATTAAAATTAAGAATATTGGTATGCTGTCTGAGTGTTTGACTTTTTTGTTATTAATGATAGTCATTTTGTGAAAATTGTATATTTTAAATTGCATCTCATTTATTTTATGTTTAGATTTTGTTGAATTATGATGATAAAATAGTTAAATTAAGTCTATATTATAATTATATTCTAACAAATAAAAATCAATTCATTTATTTCACAATAGCTAATTTAATGTTTCTAATTATTTACTATCATCCACATATTGTGAAATATTTTAAAATAACAATAAAAAAATACCAAAAATAATTTAAAAAGTATTAATAATATACTATAATAATATATTAAAATAATATAGATTAAATAAACTTCAACTCAAAACATCACACTCAAATTAATAAACAATTATTCTATTTTTTATAAAAACCAAAACCTCATAACTCAGAATATAAAGTTCCAACAACTTTTAAAGACAAAAGAAGATGTTGTTTTACTTCAAGCTAATCAACAAACAAAAACCACAAGAACAAAAGACCACTCTTGTCAAGTTCTCAAAAATCAATTTCGACATTGAAGTGATTGGGTGCTTTGCAAGAGTGACAGCAACACACTTTGTGACCAACACAAACCCAACACCAATTGACCTTTCAATTAATTTTGCGTATGACAATCAGAGTGCTGTAGTTGGGTATTCGTACAAAGTGAACGACAAAGAGGTGATCTCGTCGCTCAAAGAGATTGAAGCTGCCAAGAAAGAAATAGCAGACGCAAAAAGTTCTGGATATTCGACTTCAGACATCCAGAAAACAGACGATCGCACTCTCGTTCTTTCACTTGGCAATTTGGACACAACCAAAACAGCTGAGTGTAAAATCGTATACGTCACACGCCTTCTTGTTATCAACGATGATTTAGTACTTGCATCGACTGAAACTGTGAAAGACGAAACTGATGCGGAAGTTACGATAGAGCACATTGGCGACACCTCATCACCCAAAAGCACATTTACAAAGAAGTTGAGTGAGATCACAACGATACCACTCGGTAAAATTGGGAATGGGATTTACATCACAGACGATGAAGATCTCGAGGAGAAGACTGGCTTGTCTGTATTTGTGAGTGATGAGAAGGTTGGACCAGTCGATGCGATCTTTGTGTGTGACCGCTCTGGAAGTATGTATGGCAAAGGCATCACGTCTCTCAAGAGTGCTTTACAACTCTTTTTGCGACAACTTCCAACAGACAGCACATTTGACATCGTTTCGTTTGGGTCACAATTTGACTCGCTGTTTTCTGGTCTCAAGAAATACGACGAGACTTCTTTTGACTTTGCGTCGAAAGCTGTCGAGAAATTTGAAAGCAACTATGGCGGTACAAACATCTTGGAACCACTGAAAAGTGCGATGGCACAGAAGAGTCAAGTCATTTTGCTGACAGACGGACAAGTTGGGCGCAACGAGAAGATTGAGATTCTCAAATATTTAGAAGACAACAGAGGAAAGGCGATAGTCCATTGCATTGGACTTGGCGACGGCGTCGATTCAGACTTAATCAAAGACATTGGAAATGTGGGTGGTGGCATTTCTGTTGTAGTCAGAGACACCGAAAATTTGCGAAAAGAACTTTCAGAAATTACCAACAAGATCTTGTTGCCTGCAATCAAAGGTGGGAAAGTGACACTCACAAATGGAGTTTTTGAAGACGGGAAGAGTGAAGAAGTTGTTGGGATCTTCAACAAAGAGACTTTTGCGTTCTTTAACACAACAAGTGACTCAAAAACTGAGGGGACGTTGACTGGAAATGTTGGAGAGAAGAAAGTGACATTGACATCCACTGAGAAGATGCGAGTCAAAAACACCATTTTGGGACAATTTAAAGCGTTTGAGAAATTGAAAGTGTTGGAGTCGAAAGAGGAGAAAGAGAAGTGTGTGAAATTGTCACTAAAATACAATGTCCTGTCTAAATACACAACTTTTGTTGCGATAGACAAGTCGACTAAAGTAGAAACAGACGCAGTCAAAAAAGTTGAGATCAATCAAAGCGAACACATTCAATGCTACCCAATGATGTATGGCGGTAATAGAGGCGGTTTTGGTGGTGGAATGAGAATGAAGAAGTGTTGTGCAGCTCCAATGGCACCGAGAATGGCAGCTCCAATGATGATGTGCGACAGTGAATCGTTGGAACAATCGAGAGCAGCTGCAATGAAGAAACGCGACTCTTCAAAACAACACAATGGAGGGAGTGTCGAGAGGGAGTGTCGGTCTTCTTGTAAAAAATCTGAAAAGCGTGAAAAGGAACAAAGAGTTGAACAAAAGAAAGTGATGACTATAAATGAGAAGTATGACTTGTTGATCAACAAGCAAAAATTTGATGGAAGATTCGAAGACGTTGTCTCTGTTTTTGAAGAAGCCAAAACAGTCGAAGCAAAATTTGTGAATGAAAAAGTCGACAAAAAATGTGTAACGACAGCAACAGCAATCGCAATACTCAGGAAGTATTATGCCGATAGAAAAGTCGAGTGGGCTTTGCTTGAAGAAAAGGCAATGAAGTATCTTGCTCAATTCGGATTTGGCGAAGATTTGGTCAATAAAATCATAGCAGCACTCGTTTGATAATTCATCTTTTTTATATTTTGTCTTTTAAAAAAATCACCTTAACAAATAACGTAACACATCATTTTATATGCAAGTTGTATTTTGTTTACAACAAAAGTCTCAATGAAAAATGATCATATTCAAAATATCGGCTTATATGTAAAAGACATAAACAAATTTTAAAAATTGTTATTTTATATTTTTTTAATAACAGTTTTAACTTTATAAATTACAAAATTAAAATTATCAATTTTAATTATTTATTTATAACGTTTTTGAGTTGTTTTTAAACGAATAAAATAGCATATACAGTTAACATAAAAAACCCAATTCACAAGAAATAACCAAATGCAAGAACTATAAATAACAAAATTTATAACATAATATTTTTACGTTTTTAAAAATGAACTGTTCTTAAAAAATAAAAATAATGGAAATTGAAAACAGCAACGAACTTATTGAAATTAATGAAAGTGATATTTTGAACATTGAAATTGACTTGATTCCTTTTAACGCAATAGAAATGAGCAATTTCGAAGATATCAAAACAAAATCCAATCAGCCATTGAATTCTATCAACGAACAGGAATTGAAATTGCGAATTGGAAAATCTTTATTCAAATCTGGGATGTTGTATGCCAAGCCAAACTCCCACTACAGTATTTCGAGAAGTGATTCAACCCAAGCATTAAAGTTGTTTTGTTTCATCATGAACAAACCCGCATTGAAAGAAAAACTGTTTTCATTTAAACTCTACAGAGAGCAAGTCATTTTTATTAACAAAATGACTTCAAAACATTTTAGTCAAGGTGTCGTGGGCGCATTTTTCGGGGGTTCAAGAGGATTAATATCCAATCAAATATCAAGTCAAAAGAAAGATCAACAGTTTGGTCAAAGAAATCCGGGTAGGCCGTCACTGCTTTCTGGAACCACTAAAACAGTTATTAAGAACGTTATTGTCGAATATAACAATCAAAACATTGCTTTGACTATTCAAATGTTTTGTGACATTGTTGAATATTTAGAAGGAACAAGACCACAAAGTGATACAATGAGAAAAATACTCGAAAGAGAGTTCGATTTAGAAACATCAGAAATGGAGTTCGATGAAATTGAGAGAATCAACATTACACCACAACCAATACTTGATAATTATAAACAGTTGTCGGAAAAGTTGAACAGTTACAAGATCAAAGACAAAATGTTGTTTAATGTCGACGAGATGGGAACATCTGAAGAATCAAGTCGAAAGAACACACGAGCTATGGTACCCAAAGGAGTCAATACAAAAATTCGTGTTGCCAATGGACAAAAATCAAAAACAACCACTCTGATTGAATGTATAAGTCTTGCAGGTGAAAGAATCAACGAATCTTGTGTTATTGATAAAGTTCATTACAGTACAGTTTTGAACAAATACTTTAGAAACATTAAGTTGTATTGCAACACTTCTGGTTTTGTTACCAGTGAAATCTTTATGTTGTGGATACAAGAAGTGTTCATTTCAAGAGTCAAGAAGATCAGAATGGAAAATGGATACCATGATAGTGAATATGCAATACTGATTTTGGATAATTGTAGATGCCACGTTGATGATGGTATTAAACAAATCTTGTTGCAAAACAACATTGTGGTTCATTATCTGGTTCCACACACCAGTCACCTGTGCCAACCACTTGACTTAGTTGCATTTGGATCCGTCAAAAGAGAAATGAAATCGTTGAAACGTGTATTCAAAACAACAAAGAGTGTCAACTCCTTTAAAAACGACACTGTACCTACAAATATCCAAAATGAAAATGAAAGTGCATTTGACCAAATCCATCATTTAAAAATATCATTTCCACAGTTGCTGCCCAATTAATTGTTTGAAATGGCAGAAGAGTTTAAGCGCAAAAAGTGCCTTGGTATCTTCCCCAGTGGAATAGCGAATCAACTCAAAACCTTACTCACTTCGATAGCAGATGCCATTGTAACTTGTCCAAGTAAAACCAAAGAGTACGAGGACGTTCCATTTGGTGTTGTTTGTAATGGGTGCAACGTAGAAGAAACTTCACTGTTTACAGAACAACAGTTGACCAATCTAACCAACAACATACACACCAAAGTAACAAAAAATTTAGTAGACAGTCTGGATTCGATCGTAAGGTTGTTGGAACACGAAGAACGTGTATTTGAGTCAATCGAAAAAGAAGAAGAGGACGACATGACCAAGATCATCAAAGAAACCTGTTTGTCTGGACCAGGTTATGGTGATTTGTTGATTAAAAAGGAAAGAGCATCTTGGGGGTCTACAATTTCAAACAAGTTGATAACCATTCTTAAGTCGGTCAACAAGGCACTTGACCCAGTTACAATAATCAATTCTTTTGAGAGAGCGGGAATTGTATCGCGTTTAGGAGAAGATGGTCAGTATTACGCATACATAGATCTGAAAGATTCCAAAAGAATGGTCGAGGAAATCCCGACAATTAAAACTCTCGATGGATACGAAAGTTTGATTGTTGTACCAGAAGACTCAAAATTGAGAAACAAGGTCAAAGTGGTGCCACCAAAACACCTTAGAAGAGCTCAACAACTAAAGATTGATGTCGATAAAGCAATATGTCATGAACAACACGTCATTTGTAGTAATAATGTTGTTTTGACACAACAAGTTTTTATGGATACATCTTTGACAATCCCCGATACCACAAATTTTGTTGGAGAATATGTGTCATTACCAATGGAAACTGAAGTATTTTTAGAAATAGATACATCAGACAATCCAAGTGAAAGTAAACCAATTGATAAATATGCTATCCAACCTATTTATCAAGAAAGTGATAACAATTCACTTTTGAAAAACAACTTGCCTACATCTTCTTTTCAATGTGATCAAACCCTGCCGGATATTGAACCTCAAAAGTCCAAACCGGTATCTAAAACACCACCATTACACCAGACGCAGATGCCGTCGTTAATTCATAAAGGCAAATCAATTGTTTCGTCTCCTAATAGCCATTCAGTGACTTTTTTGAATTCCAGACTCAAAGAAAGAACTCATAGCAAAGGAAAAAGGCATAAACCTTTTAAGTGATAAATTACCCGATTTTTTGTTTTTAACAAGGAGAGATCCGTTAAGACCTCGATCCATGTTAAGATGTTTTTTAGTTACAATTTCATCTTTTAAATTGACTAATTTACGTGTTTAATCTGACTATTTTAAATAGGAAGTTCTTTTTGATTTTTACAAATCTTTTAATTTTATTGGTCATATTTTTATTTTTTTACCTGAAACCAAACTAATTTTTGTTATTTATTTTTGTTATTGTTTATTCTTGCATTGGGTTTTTTACTGTGCATTGAGTTTATTCTTTTTATTGTAATGAAAGTATGACAATAATTGTGATGTATACAACATAAAATAATCGTTGTATTTAAGCTATTTATTGTTTGTTTTGATTAACAGAATATTTCAAATAATATTATTATTCTATAAATAATTTAAGTAAAATAAATTTTTTTGAAATGGAAATGAATATTTTTGAATATTTTCAGTCGATTTAAAAAACTATTAAAACTGGTTTTTTATTTTGAAATGTCGAATTTGGTTGTATTTTCATTTTTGCTTCTCATAAGCAACTCAAAATTTATCCAAGTGAGTCCAACTGGATCAATTACAACACTCAAGTCGGCGTGTTCTTTTGCACTTCCAGGTGACACAATCGAGTTTTTGACAGGCAACTATCCTCCTCAAAATGTTCCTCAAAACACGTCTGGCACACCCACAAACCCAATTATAATTCGTCCTTCACTCAACGCCAAACTCGTTTTTGAAACATTAATTGGCGCTTACAACGTGTTCAGTATTTTCAACTCGTCAAATATACAAGTGATTGGCCCATTCATTGTTCGTAATGGGTATCATCGCTCTGTGGTTGTTGAAAATTCAACAAATATTACAATCAGTAACTTAAAAATATTCAACTCGACGAGTTGGGCAGTGTATGCTACGGGTGTCAACATCACTGTTAAAGACTCTTTGGCTGATGGGTGTGTGTTGGACAACTTGAACTGCCGTAAAAACAGTTGGGGCCAATGCTTTTCAACTTATGCGATTGATCCATACATTCCCACTTTATCACAAAACATCAATTATATAAACAACGAAATTGTGAATTCGTACGGCGAGGCAATTGATATCATTCTCTGCACAGACTGTGTCGTCAAAAACAACTTCATCCACGACGTCTTTCCAATTGCAATATACACAGACAACGCCAGAAATCTTGTATTTGCAAACAATGTCATCACATTCACCAATCATTCAATATGCACCAACAACTCTCAATACCACGCTATCGCAATTGGTGTTGAGACGTGGCCAATCAAGTGTGTGTCCACAACCAACATCACTATAACTAACAACTTCATTTATGGAGCATCAAATGGGGTATCATATTGGGGTCAAAGTGAAACATGTGGGTATTACAGTGATATTACTGTGTCAAACAATGTGTTCTATAACATCACTGGTGCTGCAATCGCTTTTCATCAAGACTGCCTTGTCAAAGGAAAGACGTACAACAATCAGTTCAAAAACAACTTCGTCTTTTCGACATATCAATGGGAGGCTGCACTGGTCAACAAGAACATGAGTAACACTTGGAACATTTCAGCTAACATTTATTTTAAAGGAAATAAAAACATTTTGAAGGACACATGGAATGGCACTGATGGGAAAAACACTCGTTGTACTTTGGAGATAACAACACAACTCCAAACGACTTCTGGAAAGGCGGAGCATTTCAAAATTGCTCAAATAAAGCGTATGAAAGTGCTGATATCAAAACTTACTGTTTTGTGCCACATAACAATTCGGCGTTGTATCATTATGGCGTCGACGTGAAATACACTGTTTATGACGGTAAAATACAAAAAGATTTCTTTGGGTGCGTCAGAAATCAAAACGAGCCAACTGTTGGTATTTCAGAGGGTCTAATGATGTGTTATAAAAATAAAGTATCACATTATTTTATTTTTATTGGACTCTTTCTATTAATTACATTTTAAATTGAAGTTCCATTTTTGTGTTTTAAAAACACAAGTAATTAGTATGTGTTGATAATATCATGTAAAATAACAATTATCGACTTTAAATTATGTTTCAAACGAAATAACAGTTGTTCACTTACTTATTTTCATTGATGGTTGTCTTATTTTTTCAACTTCACAGGCACCAATTTTATTTTATAATGCATGATAATATCAGTAAACACAGAAAAGTTAAATTAAATAAATAACGAATAAAGAAAATAGATGTTTGCTAAGAATTTACCCCCTAAACGTTTTATTGGGTTTGTGGAAAGATCAAAACACCTGATATCAACTTTTAAAAATCCACTTTGTAACCATTTACATTTAATTAAATTGAAACTCATTCATAACACTGGACAAAGTCAGTTCATTTAATTTTCAAGACACGAACACAAAAACATCTTTTTTAATTTCATTAAATCCAAACCTATTGTTACCAAAGTGACATTATTAATACTCGGGTATGAGTTGATTGTTTTAATGATCAACTCATTAAAACAAAATAAAATTGTTTTGAAAAAATGCTGTTTTTTGTTATTTTCTGAATAATTTGACTGCAATAAATCTTCTAAATATTATAAGATACTATAAATAAACTAAAAACAAATGTTATAAAAAGATTTTTTTATGGCCGACAGCATTCGGCTATTCTGACGGGATTTGCTGTAATTATAATTAATAACATTCAAAATGAATTAATATATTATTTTTTTATATAAAATTCATATAACAATACACTCTTGTTTTGATGTTTTTTTCTTTTGATAAATAACACTTTTGCAGTTTGAAAAAGCGTTTTTACCAATCAAAACAAGAGTGCTTGGTACTGTTATTTCAAGTGTAGTGCACCCACCAAAACATTCATCTTTTATTTGTTTCAAGCTTTCTGGTAAAATGATTGTTTTCAAATTTATGCAATCAAAGAACGACTTTTCTCCAATCAATACGAGACCGTTTGGAAGTATAAGATCTTCCAAATTGTGACAGCCACGAAAACAACACGACCCAATAGCATATAGTTTACTCCCAATTTCAATTCTCTTTAAATTGATACACCCACCAAAACATCCTACTTGTATTTCATTCAGTTTTTCTGGAAGTTTAATGAACTCGAGCGATTTACATTGATTAAAACAGTGGTCACCAAACAAAGTCACACAATCTGGTAGACTGACACTAACAAGCAACTCACAATTTGAAAAACAGTAACATCTTATTTCATCTAAGTTCCCAGTCATTGTCACAGACTTCAAAAGTTTGCAATTAGAAAATGCGAATGCACAAAGACGATATTTACAATTCAAAATTTGCACGGACTGCATCGAACAACCATCAAAACATTTAAATCCAACCGTGTCTACAGTTGTTGGATTTGTTACACTTTGTAGATTTGTGCATCTCTCACATAAGTTATTTGGTAAACATAAAAGTGCTTTTGGCAATTTTATGGAAGAAAGGGAGTAACAACATTCAAAACAGTTTTCACCAATTTTAGTTACTGTATCAGGAATGTTTATTTCTTTCAAATAAAACGCGCAATAAAAACAGCCATTTTCTATGCATTGTAAGTAACTTGGAAGTGTCACAAATTGGAGTGAAGTACAATTGGAAAAACAGTTATCTTCAAGTAAATTTACACTATTTGGTATTGTTATTGACTGCTTTTTGTATTTGGTTAAACACCTCGTACCCAATTTTTTCACGTTTTTAGGTATAATTTGGCCATACTTCTCATAGTCTTTTAATTTGTAATTGATGTTTTTATATGATATGTTCGTGTTCGTTTGAGTTTTGTATTCGTCGTAACTCACCTCACACCACACATTGATTTTGAAAAAATTTATTTTGTCGGCTGTATTTGTCTTTTTTGTGGTCTTGAAAACGTCATTACCAAACGTTTCGTCATATCTATTATATATGTTAAGTGTCTCGATGTTCGAAAAATATTTTATAGTCTTTTGGTTTAAAGAAATTGGGTTGTTGTGAAACTTCACCATGTTGCCGTTGTATTTTTTGCAAACAAGTTCGATGGATACGAAGTATTTTATTGATGGTAAGTATTGTGATATTACCATCATGTGATAAGTGTCAAGTTGGGTCATATTGAAACTTATTATAAATTAAATAGTTTCAAGTTTTTTGATTTTTTAAATCACAATCAAAATCGTATAAATGAACAACTATTATTTTTTTCACATATTAAAATGTTTTTTAATTCATTGTTTTGTAATAACATCACATTAAATGTTTATATTATAAATTGAAGTTATTATCATATAAAACGTTTGTTGAGCAATCACACGAGGAAAAAATCTCAAAGTTATCGAGAGACTTTGTGTAGTAATAATTATGTTGATATTGCTTTTTTTCAACTGAAGGTGATAAAAGCAAACATAATTTGTCCATTTTTTGAAACTTGTACACAATTCAACATCAAAAAACAAAAATCTCTTTTTTGAACAAAAAAATGCAAATTATAAATAAGATGAATAAGAAACATCAGACTTGTCGAATTTAAATAATTGAATAAAATATTGAATAACTTGAATCTTATTTTATCATTTAACTAATTTTCACAAAAATAACCAAAACCTTCTGATAGACGGCAAAAAATACTCAACGTCAACCAAAAAATAAATTAAAAACAAAATTATAATATTTATTTGATTAAAATAACAAAAAACTATATTAAAAACGACAAACGATTTTGAATAATTTAAAGAATGTATGCTATTCGATAACGACAGTTCATTTATTTAAAAGAATTTTGAATAAGACTGTGAACCATGTTCCGAACATTGATTTTCAACACATTATGTTTAAATTGTAAGGGAAAAGAAAAGAACAAAATTTGTCACAAAGGCCTCAATTTTCAAAAATCAACGTCTTCAATGAGAATTCACTTTTATTCAATTCATTGATGAATTGAATAAAATGAAAATGATATATTTAATTTTGATGCATTGGAAAATTATTATTAAAAAAAGTGTCGAGTTCAACACGCTTTTTTGATTATTTTTATTACCTGAAATGTTTCTCCGACACGGAACACAAATACATTCTTTGTTGAGTTGATCAAACTCCTTGACCTCATTGTGAAACTTTGTGGAACAACCACTTTCATAACTTTATTGTTAAACAAGTTAACAGGGATAAAATGAAAAGTTTAATAACGGAAGTCAGATAAAGATCGAAGGGAAACAATAGTTGTGTTTCTACAGTTATAATGTCTAAATTTGGGAACAGCTACAACACAACCACATTGCATTATTTTGAAAAACAATTTGACCCCCCCCCCAAACCGTGTTTTTCAAATCTGTGTTTTTGACAAAAAAACATACTGCTGACAACATAAAGAAAAAAAGCATAGATTTGTTGGATAAATTTGGTATCAAAAATGACATCCATTATACTGTGTTTGATGGGTGTCCGAATAACAATAAACTGTCAGATGTTAGTAGCGAGAAATTAAAAAGTATTGTTCATGGGATTAACTTGATTTTTCAGACTTGATCAAGAATATACCAGAACTCGACGAAATGCTGGAGATGTTGAACAAAGTGTTAAAGACATGTCAAGTATTACCTACAACGCATGTTTTGTTTAATAAGAAGTATAAAGAGAACGAAAAGAAGTATTACTGTGTTGCAACAGTTTGAAAAATAAGGTTCGATTCTTGTTGTAAACACTTGAAACGGCACTCCTAATGTAGAAGTCGATAATTGCCACAGGTGGAACAAACCGATTGAGAGATAAAATTTGGTGGATATGAAAAAATCCTACCCTTCGTCAAATTAATGAATGATGCATATAATACTCTCTTCTCTACCAACCCCACTTCAAATTTATGTTTTGTATTAGGAATACCAACGAGTATTTGGAATACGATCAAAAAACTCGAAACACAAAAGTGGAATGAATAAGATGATCGCCCCTCCACCCAACTTTTTCGAATGAGATCACCTGTTGAGACAAGATCACAAAGAATCACACTACATCACATTTCTTCAATACAACCAGTCATCCACAATCTTCATCTGCCAATCTCTTTTTCCTCTCATTTCCCAACAATGTTGCACGACAATTCCATTACATTGTCAACCAACAGTCGGTTTATGACAATTCAACTTGCGCGGAACACATCACACCACCTTTATCCAGTAGGTATAAGACCATTTCACCAACAAGACATTAACAATACCCCAAAAATTCTATTGGAAAGGATTGTAAAGGGGTTTCAAAGAGGGTTGGAAAGTTTATTGAAAGCGACCATTTCAAAATTGTCTGTTTTCCATTCCATCAAGAGGACGCTATTTGCACAGTTAACAACCGATGTAAGTAATCAACGTATAAGAAAGTTTGTCGCGAAAGTTGCCGAAGTGACGAAAAAACTTGGAGAACACGTGTAAGATAGAGGGACACTGATTGTTAAATTTGTTTGCACGACAATCCTTTGGGTTGTTGAAAAACATCATTTTCACACATTTGAAAGAATTATCTAGAAATTTCTTGTCTACACAATCGACGAACATTGAATCCTAAAGAGTTTTCAAAGTGATAAAAATGTTTTGACTTATGAGCGAATCGTAACAAATCCCACACTGCTTCAAAAATTATTTTTTTGAAAATTCAACTCAGAGTTAAATATTTTTTTTATTTTTCGCACTTTTGTATTAAAATCAAATGTAAATAATTCGAGTCATCGTGGATTTTAAAATGGAGGATCAACATAAGGTATTATTAACTTCGATATATATATGTATAAATTTGAAAGCGGATGTATTAATTTAGAGTTATTGAGCCCAAATTTGGCATTTTTCTAGGTTTTATGATTCATAAATTAGGCCAACCCCTTTGATTTGAATTTGACAATGAAAAACAATGCAAACAAATTAAAAAGAATCAGTAATTATTTTTTGTAACGATACCAACATATTAATATTTTAATAGTATTTTAATTATATCAATGGTTATTTGAAACAAATTACGAATTTGTGTGTTTTTAATAATCAGCTAAAGTTAAAAAATGAATCAATAGTAATAACTGTTATAATTAAACCATTATAAATAGTTGACGGTGTTTAATAGTTTTGTTATTATTTAATTGTATTTTCAGGGTTTAAGACAAAACACAACGTGTTCACAACTGAATAAACATATTGAGGGTGTTTAAATGTGGGTGAGTATAAGTTTTATGGTTTGTTTATTTATTAGCAACGCAGTTGTTTAAAATGTTATATTGACGTTCAGATTGGTTAATGCAGATTATTATTACACTTTGGTTTGTGTTTTTCAAACGCAGGCCGGTCGTGAAGGCCGTGAAACACAACCCAAAGTATCGTAAATCATTTTTATGTCGAGTGTTGTTTGAATAATAACAAAATAATGATAAATTTATTATAAACATGAATAATAAAATGTATAGTAAATATTTATTATTGATATTGTTTCTTGAGTTGAAATTTATAATAAATTTTATTATTTTGTAACAATTATATTAATTATATTTGATTTTCATACACCCCCAAATAAGCATTTTGTAAAAGGTGACTCTAGTGGGATGGCAAAAGAAACATATTCACGTTATGACTTGTGAGTAATGAAACCGCTTCAATGTCAATAAGAAAACCAAACCCGTCTATAATATGATAAGCAGGTTTTGTGTATTTTTGCATTTTTCTTCTTGTTGATATAGTCGGGAAAAAGCATTTAAGCCATTCTTTGAACAATATGTTGTTCATAAAAGCTTTCTTGGAATATTTAATACAAGCTATACTCCTGGTGTTTTTTATGTCCATCATCTCTTTTTCAATTGATACATTGGGTATGATGAAAGAACAGTAATGGTTCCATCCATACAGACACATCCCATCATTGTTGGTTTTTCTCCATTTATATTGGGTGGGAAGTGCATGTTTTCCCCACTTGAAGTTGAAGAAACAATAACAGTCTTTGATGTTTTGTCGACCCATTGTTGGTAACCAGATTCGTCACAATTTAATATAAATCCAGTGGGCAGACCAGTTATATTTGATTCTAAGTAATCAAAATAAGTGTCAATACATTTTTTGCTCACGTCGATGCGTTCTTCTTCCATGCTTTGGTGGTCATGAATCTCCTTTCTTTGTTGACAAAGATATAAAAGGCTTACACAGTCACATCATCACGTCCAATGGTATTACTAAATAAACCACAACAAATTATAATAACCCACAAGATATTCGCATCCTTCTCGTTTCTTCACGAAAGTTACAAGAGATTCGATTTCTTCGGTGTTGGAAATTGAACGTCTTCCAGATATACATCGAGGTTGTCTAACAAGAAAAAGTTGTCATCGCCAAGTTTTGTTAGTTATATCCGGAATTATACTTGCCAATAGTTTAACTTTGATATGTTCAGCTTTGTTGTTGAGATATTCAGCAAGTCTTAACATCTGAATTCTTCT